AACTACTGGTTAAAAAGAAATAACCGCAGTTTAAAGATATTGAACCATTGGCCACAGGTCCCATCGGCTACCGTATGGTGCATATGGTGATAAGAGACACAGTACCCTGATGGATAATTCGCAAAAAAAGTGGCTGGAGCTAACTGGAGGAGGTTTACAGATTAAAAGGCTGGAAGATGTAATAGAAAAATGTAGGGTTAAAAGCATACTCGGATGGTATACCTATGGGTGAATCCTAAATTAGAACAATTTGTAGAAACTTGTATATATATGTACGTTTCATAAAAACAAATCTAATAAAATTTAGGATGAGCTTATCCGAACTTTTAAAAAAAAAAAAAAAAGTAGTTAATCAGGGTTCTAAATATTCGGATAACAAATGGGATGAATATGTAAAGTTGCCACAAATTCATGATAATGAAACTCCCAGTGAGTGGATGAAACAGATTTGGGAACATATTATAAATTTTAGAAAAAATGATTTCTTACCTTATAATAGCAAAAAATATCTTGAAGCTAGAAAGTTAAAAGGATATTGGAGTAATCTAGATGGGCAGAGCCCAGACTTTTTGGTCATAAATTTTACACAAGTTATGCACCTGAAATTGATATTGCAATATGTTTCTTTTGCGATCAATTAGTATATACAAGAAAATGAACCAAAAATATAGATAATTATAATCATATAAGAATGGAGAGACATTAGGCTTCTCATTGTATAAGAAATACCTTTTGTGATATGAATTATGAAGAATATATGCAAATTAAGCAAAAAGCCAATTTTGAACATAATTATGATAATATGTATACATTATATCAATATGAATTATGGATGTTTAATGCTATTAACAAAGTTAAGTATACAAGAGAATTCAGAAAAAAGATTAGAGCTGTAAAAGCTATACAACAAAAATAATTAAAGTATATACTGTATATTGCCCAGATTGTATGACAACACAAGAGCTTACATCACATTACCAGCTTTTATAAGCTGTTTAAAAAGAAATGCATCAAATTAACAATGTATAAACTATGTTTGCAAAGCAATATATATATCTATTTATTAATTATATACTGTAACTTATTCATATACTATATATATATCTTTAAAATAAAACTCCTAAAGTATTATTAAGAACTGATATTTTAAATCTTTATTTCCTATTATTTTATAATAATTAATAATTAATTTTTCTTGATTTTCTATATCAACCAATCTTTATTCAATACAAAAATTCCTAATATAGAAACAGATTCTATATGTTATCACTATACATCCACCTTAATTTCAATTATGACTGGATTAGACAACTTCTTAATAGAAGTTACAAGTGGGATATACTTATATTAATGTATCAATAAATAACCAAAAAAAAAATTATTTGATTATTATACCTTATTTTATCCGATTTTAAAGTATTATATCTTCTGAAATCTTATTCTGGTTAGATAAAATATTTATTATCTTTTAATTCCTTAATCTTCTTTTCTAGATCAAGAGGTATGTCCCATCAAAACAAAAAAGATCCAGGTCTGGATTATTCAAATCTATAACTATAAACTCTTTTTGCCTCAAATAACTATCAATAATTTTTGAAGCTTTTTATGGATTTATATTAGTATAAAAATCTATAATATTTGCAAGTTTTCAAATAGAGCCTCTATCATTAAAGAGAACAATATAAGTAATATTTTCACAAATGTTTATTGGAATTTTATGAATTTCTGAGCAACATAAATTGAGAAAATATTATTATGATGACCTCAAGTGAAAAATGGAAGATTTTTTTTCTGTACAACTGGAGGATTAGAGTAAAAATTTTCAAATATCACTAATAAATTTTTTTTAATATTAAACTTTTTGAGATTGAAAATTTTGTCAAGAGATAGTATAGAAAATATAACATTTTTATAATAGGGCTTGAATTTGTTTTAGACAAGATATTTATAAAAATCTCAAACTATTTTATATTTTGACTTATTTAAATGATATCTAAAAATAATTATATCATCGCATTTAACATCATGTTTCTGTATCTTAAGACATATTTTTTTTTTAAACATATAATAAAATTTGAATATTATTTCCAAGTTTAAATTCATATTAGTCTTACTTAAATTGCTAGCCTCTGCCATCACAATACAAAAAGGTCATGTTAATACATTTTTATCTTTCTGATATTTTTTTGAAGATTTTATCTTATCCATAACAAATACACAATATAATATTTTTGTGTTATAAATATATTTATATTTTTTTATTCCAATAAATAATCTGATTTTGATATACTATTTGTATTTGTATTTGGTAGATTATCTTTTTTTTTTAATCCCGCAATCAGGTTGGTATTGTTTATTTATTAAATCATAAAGAACTATTACATACACGAGAATACATGCAAAGTACAAATTTCTCTGACCCAACTCACACATCTTTAGTCAAAGCCTTTAGATGCAATTTATGGAGGTGATATATTTTCTCCTAAAGGATAGGATTAAGATCCCAAATTTCTAATAGGATTAGCACCTGCAGATTACCTCCACAATCACAACCATTAATCCAAATTGTGTCACCCCCCTCTTGTAGGAACTACACAAGGAGAAAAAGAAATAAAAAAAGAATTTTTTGACAAAAAAAAAAGAAAAAAAAAGCTATTATCTATTCTAACTATTATTGAAAAGGTTATTTCAGTGAACTTAAAACTCAAGCCCTTATGGTTTCCCACTTTTCACTACCTGTGACCAGTCAGATTGTTTAATTTCCAATGAAATAGTCAATATTCAAAAACGTTTAAGGGTATTTCCAGGAGAGTATTTCTTGAAACTTTATACTTGAAGACTTTTAATCAAAAAGAATATTAATTTTCTATTGTTGATTTTTCTCTCAAGTCATATTTTCAGGAATTATAGCTTCACTTAACCAGTGGATGGTTTCAAGATTCCTTTTTCCAAACATTTTCAGGATAGATATTGGTACTTCAACTTGTTATAATATAGGGATAGGATCTAGACCTTGTTGCTACTTCCTGTTCTCAAAAATGAATAGGAAAAAAAATAAAGAAAATAAAAGAATAGGAACAAAAAGGGATCACTTCTTTTTTTCTCACAACTTTAACTTGAAACCATTCAACTCTTTCAAGAACCAATCATATCATCAGTTTAATATTGTGTGACTGGAAACACGTAAGGAGTATGTGTCTTGTTTACTTTTTCTGTAGCTGACGTGTAAAGATGGGTTCCTAAATTAAAGGCAAGGACATAATTAAAATGTCCCTTACTAATAAAAAAGTTTTTTTTTTAAAATATAAGATTAATAAAAAACTACCTACAAAGATTTTTTGCAATTTAGGTCACTTGATCCAAGTGTTTTTTGAATTATGTTTCTATTAAAGTAATAAATAAATAATTATGTCCCTTCAACAGGGACATAATTGATCTGCAAAATTTTATATACTAAATAGTTTAGGGATCCATCCTTACTGACGTGATCAACCAATCCATAACCTTGATCAATCATCTTTCAGAAAATCTGATATGATCAAAAAATTTAGGATCAAACTGAGGTAGGCAAAATTTCTTAGAAAAATCAGAAAAAAGAAAGTATGCTTGAGAAAAAAGAAGTGGAAAGCCAAAAAAATGATGGAAAAACTGGAGACTTCTTTATTTTTGTTTCTCTAGATTCTTGAATCTTTTGGGGATCTTTGGAGAATATTTTTATTTGTTGGTTTTCTTCCTATAAAGGTGTTCTTGCTATAGATCTTTTAGGTGGGTTTCTTGTATTTAGTTGCAAAAATAAACAAGAAAAGTGTTTTGAAAAAGAAAAATAAAACAAGTAGTAACTTCTGCTCACTCAGCTAGTTAAAACTAGTATTGTTTTTAAGAAAAGTATATAGACTTTATTATCATAAAGACAAAAAATCTTTTAAAAATATCTGTTTTTGGGTTGACAAAAGGATTAATAGAAAGAGTTTTTCTAGAATTTCCATTCTTCATTTACTTTTATTAATCTATAAGTTTGATATGTATTTTCAAATAATTTTTAGATAAATATATGATACAATTTTGATTTTAAAACACTATTAATTAATTAATATAAATAAAATATAAATAAATTAATATATAGAACCATAAAACATATTTGTAATTGAAAAATAAAAGCAAATTAAAATTGTAAAATTTTTTATTATTATTTAATTTATTTATTTTTATATTTTATATATGATCAAGTTTAAGTTTTATTTTCAACTTGATATTAAATTAAAAAAATAAATTTTTTTTGAATAAATAATTTTAAAAATATATAAATATTTTTTTGAAATACCCATGTATTTATATATTTATATATTATTATTATTATTATTTTTATTATATATTATTATTATTTTTTTATATATATTATCATTATTATTATTATTTAATTTTTTTTGTATGTAATTCTTTTATTTCAAATAAAAAATTTGTATGCAAGCCAACAATAAAATTTTTTCAATTACAATATCAAATACCGTATATACTGTAATTATTTGATGTGTTTTTGCAAATAAGCAATTTCTTTGATTTTTTTTTATGATTGTTAAGTAAATAAATTAGAAAAAAATAAAAATGTATAGCGTTAATCTATATTATTTATTTTTTATTATCATTAGATATATCTTAAGTAACGATAACCATTATGTTTTAAAAAAGCATATGGTGTATTGTATTAAGGTTTTTAAAAAATCATAGCTAAAAACATCTCGTACTATATATATTTGATCACATTCTTGGTAATTACTAAGCATAGGAATCACCACACCAATTATGGAAATTTCATCCAATCATATAAATTAAACGCTTCGACTTGTCTCTCATCTTTTCGTAAAAAATCTCACTCAATCATGTTAGGCGTTTTTAAGGTGGGGAATTTTGTTGTATTAATTGACCTTGCAAGAAATATCACTAAATAAAAATTTTCTTAATTATCCACGTCCTCATTCCTGTCAATTCTAAAATTAAATCCAATGAAGTTTCCAAGCACAACGCGAACCTGTAGCTATATACTTCAAAATCAAAATGTTCACATTATCCCGGGTTATCGACAGAGCGTTCGTCAATTTTTCCAAGTTAGTATTACCGAGATATCCCTCATTTATACGAACTCGACGATTTTTATTTTTTGTTAAATTGGTTTTAATGGAAATGAATTGTTACACCATTAATACATTAAGCCATCCTTCCTGGCAAGCAGATTTTCAGATTTAACTAGTAAGGTTCGGGAATCATATCCGATCAAAGAAATAACCCCCAAAGAACTTCACTCATCACTTGATCTCTCTTCTCTCACGTCAAAAACGAATCCGATAATCATCGATGTGAGAGAAAAAGATGAACAATTAAGAGGAATCATACCGACAGCCATACCATTACCACGTGGTGTTTTGGAAAGAGATGTCGAGAGGAAGGTGGTTAGCGTGGACGAAATTAATTCTGCAGAAAACGATAGGAATGTGATCGTCTATTGTGCTGGTGGCTTGAGAAGGTAAATTTAACTTGCACATTTTTCTTCCAATTAATTTTTTACGTGAAATATCAAATTATTAACATTTATAAATATACAACAGCATTATGGCTGCAGAAAGTTTAATTAGATTGGGATATAAGAAGGAGAATGTTAAAAGTTTGAAAGGAGGATATGATGAGTGGAAAGAGAGCGGTTTTGAAGTAGCAGACTATGAAACTTCAAAAAAAGCCTAAGGGGAGTGACGCCCCACGATCACTTGACTACTTGCTTATGATAATAAATAATGGTGTAATAATTTATAATAAATAATAAATAATTGGTTCCTTTATATTTTACATTTACGATATATCATCTGATCACGCAACTTATCAGTAGGCAAGTTTTATTTCAATATCATTAGTTGCACTATCCGAGGATGGTATCATCGTGCGCTCGCTTAGGAATATTTAGCGAGTCAAAAATGAAGTAAATTCATTGATAATATGTTTGGTGTAGTTATATTATAAACCATTAATAAAAATTCATGTCGCAATATCTTTCAGTAAAAATGATAATAATAATATTATTAGTCATATTCCGAATGCAACGGTGTTTTTCCGTGCTCACATCAGAAAAATTGGCATTTAAGAAATCCCAAGGAGTTCGATATCACTAAATAAGAATTACGCGTGAGAAACCGTGGATTCAACATTTTGAGCCGAACTGATTGGTTGATGTAATAAAAAAAAACATTACTCACAAGATCAATGTTGAATCCGGACCGATCTGGAGAGAAGTTGAGTGCACCAAGTTAAATTAGAAAATTAAAAATGAGGGTTGATATTGTGTAGATGAATCACTCACAACACTTCCAAATCCATGACTGCCATATGCATCTTCTGGTGGAATGGTGAGTCTAGCCTGCTCACCAAGACTTAGCTTCATGACGCCTGTTCAGCATCAAAGTTCGTAAGAATCCGCTAACAAGCGCATGCATAAATTCACAGTTTTTACCCACCTTCATCCCAACCTTTGATTACTTGACCCACACCAATTTTGCACTCGAAAGCGTATCCTGCTTGAGTGGAAGCAAATATTCTTCCATCTTGGAATTTACCAACATCTATTTAAAATTATAAAAACGAAAATGTAAATTTCATTTCGACAAGTGAAACCTGAAATTACAAATACAAGAGGAGGCTAATCACAATTAATCTTGACGGTGTCTCCCTGATGAAAGCAATAAACACTATGTATGAATATTAATGTACTTTAATCAGTTCGTATGACTTCCGCGTTATGAATAAAATATTGATTTACCTTCTTTGGATATGTCTAACGAAAGAAAAAATCAATTAGCAATGAAAACATTTCCATAATAAAAATTTTCACCATAAGATTTCATTACCTTTCCGTCGCCAGGCTACATTCGCAAATAGAGGAATTGCAAGAATTAGTATACGCACTCATTATTCATTTTCAATAATTTTCGTATTCCATAGTTAACCTTTATGGTTTCGATGCAAACGGTCTATTCAGAATAAAAGAATAACAATTATTCGTTGACTGTTGCACTGCTAATGCGCACTTTGGAAAATTCAATCATTTTGCTTTTCAATACCATGATTCATTCAGTTCAGAGATAATGTTTGTTAATGTGTTAGACTGAGTGTGTAATGATTAACGCGTTGCAATTACTGATTAAAGTATCCCAAGGTCTCACAATTCCAATGGAGAATACAATACCTGCTTTACCAAAACGGTAAGTACAATATACACATATCCCTGCATAAAAAAAATTGTCTTTATTAAATGGGGGTTTTTTTTTTGACAAGCATTACAGTAGATGAGTAGATGCGAGGATTTTTATTAATTCATTTTTTTATAAAAAATCAAATTTATTAATTAAAGTTTATTAAATACTGTAACATAAAAAATATTTCATGGTTTTTTTCTTGGTTTGGATTAAATTAATGATTTGTTTTTAAAAATCAAATAAATATCTTGAAAATATATATATATATATATATAAATCTAAATTAATATAAAAATATAAAAATATAAAACTTGCATTAAATTAAATTAAGTTAAATAAAAAAAATTAAAAATTAAAAAAATATTTAGAAACAGTACCTCTGATATTTTATTTATTTATAATGTTCGATGACAATATTAAATGCAAAAAAATTTTATTTGAATTTAAATTTCTATCATATATATTTATTTTATTACATATTAGACTGAATATTGAAAATATATTATTTTACCACATCTTGTTTATTAAAAAAAACTTTTTATCATAAAGATTTAATTTTAATAGTATGTAACCTATATATAACATAGATAATAGATAATCTAAATTATAAAAATCTTTGACATATAATCTGTTTGTGTAACAAATAATATGTAATTTGCATATTCACGTTACATCTCCTCATGGACTGAACCGACATGTAGAAACTGAAACGACCTTCTCCGCGAATTCTCCCTCAACAAAAATGGGATGTTGCTTTAGTAAAGAAGACGAAGAGGTTAGAAAAATAATTAATTTTCAAGGAAATTGATTTTTTTTTTAAAACTTTTTGTTTGCATTTCAAAATAGCCCGATGAACAAACGCCACTTTTAGACGGAGGAAACACATATAAGTGAGTATCTTATTCCGAAAGTTCAGCATACTCGAAAATGAAGATATTCATTCTTTCCTGTACCTTACAGACCTACCAAGTTTCCACGTTACGACCGTTTTAAAGAAGAAGAATTATTACAAGGAATCGTTCAGCGAACAGCCGAGTATGTGATTATTTGTATTCTGTTCGATTCAGAATTCACCTTTACTTATTCTGAAACGACGATTTCTTCAGAAACCTTATTGATATATCAAACACACATGCCACCGAGCGCCTACAACCGCCAGATTTCATAGATCGCACTAATGATGTCAAGTATGTTATGCATGTTTTCTGGTTATTCGTATTCTTTGCTGACATACTTTTGTTTCGTTCGTTCGCAGAGAAATTATAAGTACGATCAAGCTGGACTCGAAAGCACTTCAAAAGATACAGGCAGATAATACCTTAACTAAATTACAAAATAGAACATCATCATCTCAGCAGACACGGCCACCACATCTTGTGTTGAAGGACGGGGGTGTGACTAAAGATGATAAG